GAAAGTTAAATTAAATTTTTATAACCGTTTGAAATTCAACTTTTTACAACATTGGATATTCACTCGATTTCTCATGTGGCGATTTCCTTATTTTGTTGTAATTCAAAAACGAATTACTGTAGATACATGAAAATTTCACTGAATGTTTATATTAGCATTTCCTATACACCATACAATTTTGAAAATATTTTGACTCCTTTTGAGCCGATTACTGACATTTTCAGTTTTCAATTTTTTTAGTTTTTTTTTTCTATAAATATCAATAAAGTTTTATCTGTTGGGCCAAAAAGTGTAAAAAATGAATACAAGACTCCTGATATATCGTTACAATAGCAATTGAAAAAAAAGGATGGTAAGTGGATGTCGCTCTGCTGTACAGTAGGTTACAAGTGGGTCACTGTATAATGGATGCTATTAAATTTGAATTCAATGATACAATATCATTGTATAAGAAAAACAATTCTGAGCGGAGACGGTATGTCAGGCTAGGTATAAGACATATTATATACATATCTATGGTATTAAAAAAAAATTGACCTATAATAAATTCCAAATTAATCATATCACAATATCCATTAGGTACTTATAACACGTTATACATCAATAACAAACCCTGATACTATCATAGATATATAATATAGTGTACTTTAGAAGTTTCAAGTACCCACGAATAGTATTATACACTCACAACAAAATAACGAAAATAGGTACATAATATATAATAATAATATGTAACTATAATATTATATAGGTAGTTTTATTTATTCGGTTAAATTACCTACTGAACTTTGAAATTACGAACATTTAATATTAATCTATATCAGGGGCGGCTTCAAGGCCATGTGGGGGGGAGTTATAATTTTAGGAAAATTCGATGATTTTTTTTGTAATTTTGTTTTTAACAGTATAAAATTGTTTATAAATACATCTTGATGAGCTGCCCCTGATCTAGATAGTGTAGCATTCTGTATTCAAGATGTATTTCAAATTCAAACAATAAATCTAAGTTTATTATATAGAAAGATAATGTTTGGCTATCTTTATTGTTATTGGAGTACGGTTAATGAAGGTGTTAACTATAGGTATGCATTTTTTATCTCTTTTTTTCTAGCTATATTTTAACTATACATATAGTTTAATTGCATAAGTAGTTGGTATTCTATAAAAATCCACTCACTCCACTCACTTATATTATTAAAACTGTGGTGTACCTTACTTAACTAATAACGTACCTACATCAAAAATCTCAGAAAAATATAATTAAATAAAAAAAATATTTTACAAAACGTTATTACAATTTGGGTATTTAGGTACTGTTAATTTAATCACCTTGCAGTATACTTACATGTATACTATAATAAGTTGGGTGCGTTTACCGAAGTTCTAAAAAAACAGATTGGAATGTGATGGACCATCACTACATCCATACCTACATCACTGATGGTTTTGACCATTGCGGTGACAACAGTGACGAATCTCCCCATTGTTTTGAAGCCCATGGTACGTATAATGTATAATTTGACACTTGTTACTTGTTATTTGTATATTTATTATACTATTGTTCCGTTTGTGAGTACTAGTCTTAAACTATAAATGGGTAATAATTAGAACCATTGGCTTATTGACAAGACATCCACGGATGGGAGATGGTATCTTGCGCCAATTTTATTACTTGTAATTTGCGCCACGGATAGGTACATTTAAGTGCGTATGTAATTTGCGCCAAAATATAAAAATATAAAATGTATTTTGCACCACATATACAAATTAATTTTGGTAATTTGCGCCACGACAGAAAACGAAATGGGCTATGTAATTTGCGCCACACTTTTAACTTGAATTGCTGGAATTTACCAGCAGATACCTAAATTTATTGATAACAATCTGAATAATAATTTATCTTTTGAATCGCTTATCGAAAAATTTTATGAAATTATTTTTCACTCTTTTTCTTTATTTGTGCTAAAAACAAAAATATATAACAAATATTCACTTATATGGGCTAACGCTGAACTCAGAGATTGTATAATTAAAAAAAAATGTGCCCACAAAAAATTTAAGTTATTTCCTTTGGATGCTAATTATTATGACTTCTCTAATCTTAGAAAAAAATGTAAACACTTGATTACTATATGCCATGATCAATATATTTCAAATATCGAAAACAGTATTCAAACTAATATCAAACCTTTTTTGAATTATGTTAACTCTCTAAAGAAGTTCCTGATTGTGTAAATTACAATAACTCGTCTTCCACTAAAATTTCAGAAACAGCCCAATTATTTGCAAATTATTTTTCCAGTGTCTATACTAAAGATCATCCACAGTTCAATGGAGTTGTTCCTCTTCCTTCTGATGAATCTAATAATTATTTGAATTTATGCTCCTGGACTATTGATCTGAATGAAATTGTTGATTATTTAAATTCTTTAAATACTCATACTGGCACTGGACCTGATGGTATTCCACCTATGTTTTTAAAAACTTGTAGCTCTGTTCTTGCTCGTCCGCTTTATATGATTTTTAATAAATCATTAGGCTTAGGTTATTTCCCTAACATTTGGAAAAAATCATTTGTAACACCAGTGCATAAATCAGGGGATAAACATAATGTTACAAATTATAGACCGATTTCCAAAATGTCCATTATTCCGAAAATGTTTGAAGCTTTAATTACAAAAAAGTTGTCTTTAACCCTTAACTTGTTGTTGTATCTTTTTGGATACACAAAGCTTGTGAATTTTTGTACGGAATCCGATGTACAATATTTTTATTTTTATTATTTGTACACTTTGATAAATGTCATATCTCCCACGTGAGTACACTACGATAACGTTTCTATGATGATTGGGATTGACAATAAGTAATAACTGTTTTTTGTTATCATTTTTTGGAAATTTAAAGCCGATCAAACTCGTTGACTTCAACTGCTAATTTCATCAAATTTTAATGTGTTACTAGAATCAACTCAGTTAATCACGTTTATGTAAAGTATCTAATAATATATGCAATAATGCTTATTTTATATCAATTTTAAAAGTATGTATCCTTTTAGATACATGAATATTAGTATTGGTTTATGGCTATGTATCTTTTAAGATACAATTCATAACTTTGTACTTTCAAGTCCAATATTTTTTTTGACAACATTTTTGAATTCAGCGACCTTAAATTAGTTTGAAAATATCTACTTTAAAATTTTCATTCTAATATTTTAATGCTTGCCAAGTTAAGGGTTAATTATGACCCCCCTCATTTCTAATAACCAACATGGTTTCAGACCCAAAATGTCTATTTCTACTAATATTTTACTTTTTCAGGAGAAAATCCTTTCGGCCTTAAATCAACGTGTTCAATTGGACACTATTTATACAGATTTTCAGAAAGCGTTTTATAAAGTTAACCACAACATTTTATTATATAAATTATCTTGTTTTGGTATTCATGGTACATTTTTCAATTGGTTAAAATCTTATCTATGTTCTCGTACCCAGGTGGTAAAAATTAATAGTTATGTTTCTAATGATTTTTTGGTTAGCTCTGGTGTACCACAAGGGTTGCACTTAGGACCCCTCTTATTTATATTATTTATTAATGATTTACCATCTATTTTTGATAGCTCAGTTAGTATTCTTTTATTCGCTGATGATGCTAAACTATTTTCAGTTATTAAATCACCAAATGATGCATTAAAGTTAAAGTCAAATTTAAATAAATTTGTTGAATAGAGTCGTGTTAATCACCTTCCATTAAATATAAACAAGTGTAGAGTGATAACATTTTCTAGAATAAATGATATAATCACCTATAATTATTTGATTGATAGTTTTATAGTTACAAGAGTTTCTTCCATCAGAGACTTAGGGATTATCTTTAATTTTAATATGGATTTTTCCATCCATATTAACACCTTTATTAAAAAAGCTTTTAAGATGCTTGGTTTTATTAATAGGAGCACGATAAATTTTAAAAATACCAATGCCTTAAAAACTTTATATTTTTCCCTGGTTAGGTCTCATCTTGAATTTGGATCAATTGTCTGGTCTCCACATTATTTTTCTTATACCAGTCTAATTGAAAATGTTCAGTATAAGTTTCTAAAACTATTATGCTTTAAATTAAATATACCAATCACGAGAGAATTATATAAATTGCAAATTTCCCAATTGGGGATCGCGTCTTGTGATTTGAGGAGAAATGTTGCGGATATTATGTTCTTATATGACTTATTAAATGGTCTTATTTATTATCCGGAATTATTATTTCACATTGGTCTTAATGTACAAACTCACGTATTAAGAAAATCTAACTTTTTTCATGTTTCTCTTTCCAAAAATAATTATACTTCCACCTCGTTTTTCCCCAGAGCTCTGCCTTTGGCTAACAGTATAATGGATCATGTTGATTTTTTTGCTATGTCGCGTTTTGTATTCAGACAAAATGTTTATCTTGCTTTAAATTTAAATTCTCTTGTTTAAATATTATTTTTATTATTTTATTCTTATTAATTTTTTTTTTTGGTGTAACCATTTATTGTTAATTAATGATTTTTACTGTACTATATATTTATTCTTTTTTGGCTGTTAACTATTTCCATTGGTACAAATATATTTACATCATTATTGTGTCCAAATTATGTTATAAGATAAGCTAAACTGTACTTATATTTTTTCTAATTGCTAAAGGGTTTAATACCCGTTTATTATACATAAATAAATAAATAACGAATTAGACATACAATAATACGTACTGACGCGTGTCCAATATAATATTGTAGTATTCTACCGCGGATAATATAGAGACAACTCGTCTCTATTAGACGTAATCGATCTCCGATTACGTCTAATCTAATGAAAATTATCAATGTATTGTTAAGTAAGTCATCGAACAATATTGAACAGCAATGTCGCGAATCGCCTGATATTAACAGTTAGTCCGATATAAATCGCGTGTGCGTTCATGTTATTTTCACATTTCAAAATCATATAAAAGTATAAGAAATGGAAAATAATGCAAATATTGGTGAAATAATTAAAAGTACAAGAGACAAAGATTTGTTATTATTTGCAAATTTTACGTATCGAAAAGTTCATGAATCGAAAAATTCTTCAATACGATGGCGTTGTACTGTTAGAACTTGCATTGCAAAAGTGTATACTTCTTTAGAAAATATTGTACAAATAGTTGAAATTGTAAATGAACATAACGGGCACGATCAACCAAGTATAGACAGAAAAATTTATTCAAATGGATGTAAGAGAAAAGCTATGGAAAATCTGTATACTAAACCAAGTAAGATATTACGAACTGAAATTTCTAAAAATATATCTAATTTACAATCCATCACTACCGATGATATATCACTAGTTCGACGAAATATTTATAACGCCCGTAGAAAGATAGTGCCACCATTACCAAAAACAATGGAAGATTTGCAAAAGAGTATAAGCAATTTGGATTTGAGAACGGACCTCAATGAGCAATTTCTATTAACCAATGATCCGAACTGTCATATAATAATATTTTCATGTGACACAAATTTAAAAGTTCTATGCCAATCTGAGATTATATACATGGATGGAACTTTTGAATATTGCCCCAAGTTATTTACGCAATTGTTTTCTTTGCATGGTTTATGCAATGATCATTATATCCCACTTTTATTTGCATTACTTCCAGACAAAAAAACTTCAACTTACATAAATTTATTTAAAAATATCATAAATTTTGTGTAATGCACGTGAACTTTCTCTAAAACCGAATTTATTTATATCTGATTTTGAAGAAGCAATTCATGTAGCATTGAGACAAGTCTGGGATGACACTAAAATATTCGGTTGTAGATTTCACCTAACTCAATCGTGGTATAGAAAAATTCAGGAATTCGGCCTATCCAATATATATCAAAATAATAAAACAGAAGAAAGTAAGTGGCTAAACCATACATTTGGGTTGCCATTTATTTCTCCAAATGAGGTCAGTGACTGTTTTATCGAAGATTTTATATCATCGATTCCTAATGACATAAGATTTCAAAAATATGCTGACTATTTAGTTGACACTTATATCTGTGAAGAGGCTAAATTTCCACCAATAATTTGGGCTTCGAATATTGCGTCACTAGCTCTCACTACTAATGCTTGCGAATCCTATCATTCACGTTTCAATTCCGAGTTCTATCATCCACATCCTACTATTAATCACTTTTTGGACGTACCGAAAGGATTTCAAACAGAAACTTTATATATGTTTTATTTATTTATAATTAAAATATGACGGATTTTTATAAGTAGCTAGGTATTTTATTTAAAAATTATATGTTTTATTTATTTATAATTATAATATGACTGATTTTTATATTATGTTTTATTACTAAACGAAAATGTACTTATTTAATATAGAATATGGAGTTTGTTTTACTTGTATACATTTATTTATAATTTTAATATGACTGACTTTTATAAGTAGCTAGGTATTTTATATCAAAAATTATATGTTTTATCATTGATTATATAATACACAATCAATGGTTTTATTTATTTATAATTATAGTCTGACTGATTTTTATATTATGTTTTATTACTAAACGAAAATGTACTTATTTAATATAGAATATGGAGTTTGTTTTACTTGTATACATTTATTTATAATTATAATATGACTGATTTATAAATACGACTATTTAGTATTAGTGGCGCAAAATACAATTTTAATAAGGTGAAAAATGGCGCAAATTACAATTTTTTAGGTACACGATGGCGCAGATTACATATTGCCTTTTTATTTAGTTTTATTTGGCGCAAATTACAAACTTTAATAGTGGCGCAAATTACCAAAATAAATTTTTAGATGTGGTGCAAATGACATATATATTATTTTTTTTTGGGTTGTTTTTGGCGCAAATTACATACGCCCCCACGGATTTCCTCTATCCAAGACTAAAGGGTAAAACCTAAGAGAAGGTAATTCGGGGAAGTAATTAAAAAAAAAGGTGGGCAAGTGGGTGTCGCTCTGCTGTACAGTAGGTTACAAGTGGGTCACTGTATAATGGATGATATTAAATTTGAATTCAACGATATAATATAATTGTATAAGAAAAACGATTCTGAGCGGAGACGGTATGTCAGGCTAGGTATAAGACATATTATATACATATCTATGGTACTAAACCAAAATTTGACCTATAATAGGTACCTATGATAAATTCCAAATTAATCGTATCACAATATCCATTAGGTACTTATAACGCGTTATACATCAACAAAAATCGTGATACTATCATATAGATATATAATAGTACACTTTAGAAGTTTCAAGTACTCACGAATAACATTATTCAATCACAACAAAATAACTAAAATAGTTATTCTAGGTTTTTTAATATGTAATTTCGTCCAAATTTGAATTTAAAATGTCTGTAAGAAATAACTGTGTTCATATATTTTTTAGATTTTTTGGTTACAGTATGAACTATTTATGAGAACCTTTATTTTAAATTTGCAATCCTTAGCTATAAAAACTGAACATTTTATAATTTATTAATTACAATGATTGATAAATTTCGAGATTTTGATAAATTTTGTCAAAATTCGATCTTTAAATGTTTATAAAAAAAAACTGTGCCTATGTATTCTTAATATTTTTCAACTGATATTGTAACAATATATCAGGAGCCTTGTATTAAATTTTTACACTTTTTAGCCCAACAGATAATACTTTATTGATATTTATAGAAAAAAAAACTAAAAAAAAATGAAAGCGGTAAATGTCCGTAAACAGCTCAAAAAGAGTCAAAATATTTTCAAAATTGTACGGTGTATAAGAAATGCTAATATAAACATTCAGTGAAATTTTCATGTATCTACAGTTGTTCGTTTTTGAATTGCAACAAAATAAGGAAATCACTACACGAGAAATCGAGTGAATATCCAATGTTGTAAATATTTGAATTTCAAACGCTCATAAAAATGTAATTTGATTTTCTAATAGATATTTTTTTTTTTTTTTGATAATGGTAGGTAATCTTATAAGGAATCTTGTATTACATTTTAAAATCTCAGATTTAAAAAGAAAATTTTTTACGAATGCTTAACTCAAAATAATTTGTTAATTTTCGTGATTTTTCCATATTTTGTCAATTTTTTAACTTTAAATGCTTTTAAAAAAAAAACTGTGACTAAGGATTTTTAATATTTTTCATCTGCCTTTGAAACAATATACTAGGAGCCTTCTATTAAATTTTCAAGCTTTCGCAACCAACAAATAACATTTCATTGATATTCCTAGAAAAAAAACTAAAAAAAAATGGAAAATGAAAATGTCCCTAAACAGTTCAAAATAAATCAAAATATTTTGAAAATGGTATCGTGTATATAAAATGCTAATATAAACAACCAGTGAAAATTTCATGTATATACGTTTATTTATTTTAGAGTTACACCAAAAACCAAAATCGATTTTTTGGAAAACCGATTTTGCGTAAAATTTCCCGTTTTTCCTTAATTTTTATGTTGTTTTTCCCGGCGCTTGTGAAAACTAAAGGGAATTTTAAATTTTGACCTCCCCAATGCACCAACGATATTCACTTTCCATTCGAACAAGATACTGAAGTTGAAAATCGAAGCATTATTTCGACTACTTATCGTGTACACAGACACAAAAAAAAAAAAATTAAAAAAAAAAAAACACATTGTAAAATCAATACATTCATCGTTCCTCGCAGAATCTAAAACTACACACCATATAGTATATTTAGAACAACAGTAAATATAATACCAGTTTGCGAAATGGGCGGGTGGGTGATGATGATGGGGTGTATGGGATATACATGTGCGAGCTTTACGTGTTTTCGTTCCCTAGTGTTTATTCTAAATAGTTACTACCTATATACCTACCACAAATTAAAATAAGTACTTACCACAAATTAAATTAAGTACCTACCATAAGCTTTAGTTTTTACTTTTAGTCTTGCATAGTTGAAATTGTGCGGATCATGCTATATAGCAGTTATCTCATTGCATGAAGTATAGCCGTAAAGGTACCAACAGAAGACTGGACCAAAAATAAATTATTTAACCGAAAGTTGATTGAGTGGGATAATATACATGTTTGGAGAGGCGTGCATTGCCGCAAATAGAAAAAATGTCTTGGCTCAATTAGCTCCAAAAAAAAAAAAAAAAGAAGGGGTTTTGAGTGTTTTGATGGGGCTAAGCCCCCCACTTATTTGCGCCACTGGAGGTGTGCCTTACGCCATCCATCCACTGATGCAGCTATTGAAAACATGATATTATAACATATTAACCCATTTACGCCCAAGGTTAATTTTTGTGAATAAAATTGATTTTTCTACTATAAACTTATATTATTGGAGCCAAATGTGATTGAAAAAATTATAAAAAAAAAAAATTATATACCATACAAGAGTTATTGAGTGTCCTATTGATACGGAGCGTCTTTCCGGGACGTCCGTGATCGTGAATAACAATGCGTTATGTATCGTTATAGTATCGTTTATTGTATAATCACTAAATAATGTTTATAATGATCGGGGCAAGTTATCCCGGGCCGCGCGGCAGGCTTGAAGAAGCGGCCGCGGCGGGCGGGTTCGGGCCTGAAGAGGCGCGAGCAAAACAATAGTCGGGATTTGCCTATACGTTTCGTAGAAAGAATACAATAATGATAAGGGAGAGTAGGAACCGTCCGTGCACGGACTCGAGCAAGTCGTGTGGGTTCGGTTCTTCCTCGCGGTGAAACTCGAATAAGCTCACCGTAGGGGGGGAACGTGGTATTACTTGTATTGGCTTGTTGAATAGTCGATTGGCCAAGTCACGAAGTCGGTTCCCGGCGTGTCTTGATATTCGTCCAACGGCGTGACTGGACTCGATTGAACGGGTGGACTGACAGTAGTGGATCGTCGGAGTATAATTATATTATACGCTGCCGCCGGTGGGTTAATCAGGTCCCGGTGTGGCGGCTATCCGTTGTCGTCGATTGCTGGATGCACACGGTAGGCTTGGTGTCGTCGGTCCGTGAAGTGGCGCTTGTTAGCCAGGTATACCGGGTACTGTTGAGTCTCGGCGGTATCGAGCGATCACGTTAGACCGGTGTGTTCAGGGTGCGTCGTCGTGGACTGGCTAGGTCGAATCAGCTTCGCCGGCGTCGTTCAGGTCGGTGTTGCTGCTGCGTCGTTAGTCTTCGGGTCTTCGGGTCTTCAGGTCTTCGGGTCTTCTAAAGTGTTTGTTGACTTGTAGAAGAGATGTTGAAGACTGGTGTGGAAGATGATTTGACCGGTGAATTGTCCCGGTATATATACTATTTGTTTCTCTTTGTTGTAATGTGATTGGTCGAGGGTGGTTGCTTTGACGAGCAATAACCACACCTCGACCCGTTGGTGTTCGCTTTGTTGATGTGGTTTTCGCTTGTCATTTCCGTGAAACTTTCCTGTTGACAAACTACTTATTCCACTATGTCGCGTCTATTGCTTGTGTCGTATTATGTTGCCATACTGTTGTGTTAGGTGGTCCTGAAAAGGACCATTTTAATATAGTGACGGTTTATCCCGTTACAGCTCCCCCCCCCCAGATTTGTCATCGGGGAAGTGACTGAACCGATGGTAAATATGTTGAATCGTGAACGACACGTCTGCAGATTGATGCCTTGTATAATGCCCGTCGAATTGTATTACAAGACATATTCCGTAGTGGTGTATCCTCGTTCTGGGTTGATGGGTGCCATT